TTAATTTTCAGTAAGCGGAATACCAATCAACTTGAACTTTTGTTATCTTGAACTGTTTCAATTGGTCCCTTGAAATCATCTAATTGACTAGAAATAAAAATCTCTGATTACGTTGAACCTCAGATAACTTAAACTTTGTTTAGTGTATAAATAATATAGATATATATGGATAAAAACATAGAAGATGATGACCAGATTGATATGTGGTATGACTCTAACAAGATAAGAAAAGGAGTCATAATCTTACACAGAGATTACAAAAAACGTTGTATTGAACAAATTTTTTCATAAAAGATTAAAGTGATTTGGATTTCAGCATGTGACAGGTAACAACTTCAAAAAAAATTTTAGAGGTAAAAGTAAAAAAATTTATAGAGAATTCATTACATATGGTTAGAGTTGCAAAAAATGTGTATTTTTCATTCGGCGTTTTATTTGGAATCAAAAAAACTTTTGAAATTGTTTTCCTTTACTAAAGTATATTTTTAGTATATGTTTATTGAAAACACAACATATATAAACACCAATTTAACTTGTATGCTTTAAAAAAAATTTAAATAGCTATAAGTAAGTTATATCAATGCTTACTGTATGGGAATGTTTATTTGTCATGTTGCACTTCCTAACAACTGTGAAGTAACTATTCTCATCCTATAAGAAAGTTACTATTTTTATTTTTATAATGAAAATATATTAGTATATAAAACCATGCCAATTTAATATCAGACTTCAAATGCTCAAAGAATTAAGCTATCTAACAAGATTACTTTTTTCTAACTATAGGATTTATTTTTCTAGACATATTCAAATAGTACTATATCAGGACATTTGCACAATTTTTTAACATAATTTGTTGTTAAAGTTAAGTTTTAGACATAATCTCATAATTGATTACCAACAAGAAGAACAATAAGATCACTTAATAATTTAAAGATATCCTTTCTCTCTATATATATATGTGTGTGTATATATGTTTAACTAAAATCATCCTCGAGGCCAACATTTCTTTATTTCCATTAACTTCTGGGATACCTCAAGGTTCTATCTTTGATCTTGTGTTTCTTATTAACATTACTGATTTTTCCGACAACCTTATATCTAAAGTAGCTCTTTTTGCTGATCAACTTTTATACACCTGATGAATTTTGCTGATAAACTTTATACTTCTGTCTATAGAAAAAGTCCTTGCTTTTTGATTGCTTAGAACAGGCGGCCAATCTTAAATCTGATCTTGTTTCTGTAACAGATTAAGGCTCAGAGAGGCTTGTAAACTTTAACTCCAAAAAAACTCAGTTGTTTTCTGCAAACTATCGCAATGCTGTCAACATTACTATATTAAAAAAGCCAACCCTTTTACTCCTTTTCAGTCTTCTAGGATTATTATTTACTATTGACCTTTCATGTAAGCCATATACAATGGACTGCTAAATTAGCATCAGCTAATATTGCATCTTTTTATCATGCTCGCCGTTTTCTTACTCCAAATTTCATTCTCTACCTCTAAAAATCTATTATTCCCTCTGTATGGAACACTTTTGCATTGAATGAATATAGTTAAATCCACTCTATCTGAGTGGGTCTAACTATCTAAATCTCATTCATTTACTGTATCTGTCCTTGCATGCTCTAAAAACTTTTCATCTAGTTTCGTTCCATGCATTTCAACCCTGTTTTCCTGACTCATACAACCTACAACTCTTTAAGTCTTCTATCAACTATTCCCTTGCTCTATAACTCTTTTCTTTCCTAGTAACTCCCAACTTTATAGTGGTTACTTGCAGGCTTGTTTAAAGTGAATCAGAATAATATATGGGCAATTCTGCAAGAATGAGGAAAGAAAAAAAGTTATGAAAACACATACTAAACTCTGTAACTCTTTTTAAAAAATATAATTTTATCATACCATAGCATGGGTTTAATGTTGCAAAGGTTGTATAAACATGTTTTGATGCTTATTTACAGTCCTGTTGTGTAGCGTTAAATATTGTATTGTATATCCATAATTGAGAACTTTGATAATGTTATAGTGTATTTTTTAACATAATAAACATAGTAGTTAATAATCATTTATACTTTTTTTCTTACATCATCAATTGCATCATTTTAATTGCTGTTTTTAAGCATTGGATTTTTTTGTTATGACCATCACGGTTACAACCGTCATGACAAAAAAAATGTAACTCAGCATATAACAACATCAATATGTGCTAAATACACACACCAAGTGATTTGTTTTTTACCTAGCCATTTGCTGCATTATGTCTAACAAAGTTGTTTTGTTCAGAAATGGTAAAAAGTAAGCATTACAATCGTCAAGCTATGTAGAGTTAATTTTTGAAAAAAGTTAAAGACTTTAATGCTGTAACTTTTAAAAACAAAATTATATGATAGTATTTTATATTTCTGGAAAGTTTCAAGTCGTTTCTATTTTCAGATCGTTTTTAATAGCTTAAAGAATTTCAAATGTTTCGAAAGCCACTCTCGCGGAATTATACTTATT